TATTCCAGGTATCTTGGCTTGGGACACTGATAGGTTAAAAAAAAAAAAATCTACATATTTCTTTAGATTTCAAAAATGTTTTAATCATAAAAATCACTTATAAAACTTTAAAATACAAAAATTTACAAAGGAAGTAAAAGTTCACTACTTGAAGGTAACCGTGTGTACCCCCCAGTCTGCGTGCTCGCCTAGCGTTCTTACAGGACCATTTCTCAGACTGTGCGAGGATGCTTTAAGTACCTCTCTCTGTTCAGTTATTCCCAATTGTTGATCATTTTATACTATATTTCTGATTAGGTCCTTAAAAACAGATGCTGAGAAAAGCATAGTAATCTAGATATTAAAGCTGTTCGTGTACTTAAAAAAAAGGATACACTCATGTTAGCACTGGTCTGTGTTTCTAGACTGACAGCATGTATTGACTTAGGAAAGTTGGTGATACATACCACGAAGACCAAGTGGAACAGGAATGCCTTTGAGGTCTCTTGGTCAAAAATGTGATTGTTTTCTGAAGTAGAAAAATTCTTCCTGTAACACTGCTTTAACTTTGTACCCGCTTTCCAGCGTTTTATCATGATCTTGACCGAGCACTTAGTACGATGCGAGACTGATGGGACCAGCGTATTAACCCCGTGGTACAAGAACTGTATAGAGAGGCTCCAGCAGATCTTCTTACAGGTTTGTGGGAAACTCTGATTAGATAATAAACATCACTGTTCTCAGCCCCAAGAATTTTCCATTTTAAAAAACGGTCAGATTTGTCAGGAGGTTTTGTAGTACCTGTAAGGCCCTTTTACTGGCCATTTGTTCCTGCAGTAGCTCATCAGAATATTTAGGCTCGAGTGGGTCCTCCAGCACTCCGATTTAGGAATTGCTGTTCTCCAGACCTTGTAGAAGTCTCTGTATGTGCGAGTCCTATAGGCACAGATAGAAGAGATTTTCATTTTCTGACCTCCCCCACCCCCCACACAGCCTCCACAAGTCATAGATTTTCAGTGAGACAGATGAGCTATTTATTTTTGACAGATAAAAGTTTGGGTTTCTTGTTTTGTGGAATAGTTTGTAGAGAATTAGCCAGTGATCTCTTATGTTTTTATAAAAGAAAATTTTAAATGTCTAAGCAGTAAAAGGAAAATACTGCAAAGTATCTTTTCTCATGTTTCAGCAACCATAGTTTTAATCCTCTTTCCTGGGTTGTTTTTAATCTTAGGCCAGTCCCTGTCTGGGCTCCCTTTAAAGAGTCCTACTGTCTTGTCCTCATCAGTAGGGACCCAGCTGCGCCCGGTCTGGAACGCCCAGTGTGGAACGCTGCTCTGAAGCATGAATTATGTTTACATTCAAATCCAGTTCTGGCTACTTTGTTTCTAAGTTATTGAACATCCTCCTTGCTTTTTTTTTCCCTCTACATTTTCTTAACATTGGGGCTTTTCAGGAGCCCATCCTTCCTATCAAGCATAACCACTTTTTTTCTCCTACCCCTTCCAATTCATTCCACAACAGGGACAGGCTGCTCAAGTGGTCTTTTTCCTGACCTAAACCTCCCCTTTTGTGTCCACAGCATCACCAAATAATTCAGCAATACATGGTGACCCTGGAGAACCTGCTCTTCACTGCCGAGTTAGACCCGCATATCCTGGCTGTGTTCCAGCAGTTCTGTGCCCTACAGGCCTAAGGATCCTTTTATTCCCTTGTCAAGATTTTTAAAAAATATCTCAAAATAATTTGTCTTATTTTTTGATGGTTTGAATGCTTGCTTTCTTGTAGCATCCTTTCACTTATTAAAGGGGGGGAGGGAGGAGGACAGTGAAGAATAGAGCATTGGTTACCTTCAATGGCCCCTACAAAGCGAAAATTCCCGACTATGTGACAATGACCATAGGATGTATTATATATGTGACAGATACAACTTTTCTGGTACTTTTTTTTTCCTTAAGGCACAAAAGATAAGTGATTTAAGGTATGTGAACACTAGAGGTCCAGCTTACAAAGTAGTATATAGAACTGGTGGGTTTACTATCAAGTAGCATAGCTTTTCACAGCTCATGGATAACCTGATATGGCTGAAATAAAACTAAATGTTTTTTAAACTTCGGTATTTCATGATTTATCTCAGTCTACTTAAAAATCGCTTTCTTATTGAAGGTGTACTTCCCTCCCTTTGAATTCCTTCTCTAAAGTATTTTAAGTAATATTAATAAATGTTATTCAGAGTAGCACCACCCAAATTCTTCAGTTATTTTCTAAATTAAACCACAGTCTCTGGGGGGTGAAGTGGAGCCAGCCATCATTCTAAAGCCTCCCTTGGTGCTGTCCAGTGTGCAGGCAGCTATGGGAACCATGACCTTGGAGCCATCTGGTCATCTCCTCTAGTCTCAGATTTGTCAAAGGTCCACTAGGGAAGTACATGTTGAACTGGCAACAGAAGTAGCTAGACTAGCTAAAACTGTACTTGGAATTCTATGTAGGTTTGGACTTTGTTTCTAAAGAACTTGGTCCAAGTAATTACTAATTCTTGAGCCTGTTTCCTATAGGGTATTAAAGCTTAGCTCAGATAAGACCGCACATGAAATAATCACGTCTAAGGGATTCCCTGACATTGCAAATCGCTAGCATTTTAAGACTTCACTAAACTTAAAAATTTATCAACAACCCCACAACTGGTAAGTAGTGTTCCTAGTCATCTGTGCAACACGGTATTGTTAACTTACTGTGTCATAAACTGCAGAGGCAGGCATTAGCATTTTTCATATTATCCAGTTTCTTTGGTTTACCCCACATTTAGTAGCTACAGAATATAGTCTACTCAAGAGAGAAGAATTCCTAGGATTTTTAAATCCCATTTAAACAAATAATGCAAGTTACCAGCAGGAAAGGGACCAACACCCAGGTTCTTGTCTAAATATTCTTTTGGTTATGCTGTTCCTCCTTCCCACAAGTCAGACATGGCTCTTGTCCTCAAGAGGCCAAAACAATAACCGTTTATGGCTCTGATAACTTTGACCCTACACTGTCCTGTAGCCTTCCCTAGCCCAGTGTACCTGCAGTTTGGCTGGTATACCTGCTGGATCCCAAGTCTAGAGGAATTTTTCTCTTGGGTCCTCTTTTCACATGTAATATTGCTTCTCACAAGAATTCACTGATGGGACTCTGCTCTTGTACAGTTTGGTAGCTAAGTTTATGGAAAAAACTGGAAGTTGAATTTCAAAAAAAAGGCATAAGAGCAAAAACATTCAGCAGCTGCTTTCCCCACTCAAGCAGCTCATACAGACAAAAGAATGGCAGCTCACTACCAAACCTCGCAAAGAAATCAATATTCTGTTAAATACTCTGTCAATGCCATTTAACATTTCCTTTGTCAAAGTGAACAAACATATGCTTTGTTTTCCTTGATTCTCAATCTCCCTTCCAGGAATAATTCAGGCAGTGGTTCATATGAAAATAAGTTTGCTTGGTCTTCCTGGAAAGTATTTAATAGTTTGTTACATAATTTACTAATCTGTAATTATACCTAAAAATGAGAAATGAGGAAAAAACTTGCCAACCTGGGTAGAATACATTGTGCTGTCAGTATTCTCTGGATACTGGGATCCTCTTCAAGTGATGAAAGCGTGCATAGAAGCATACGGGAAACCAGACAAATCTAGAACTGTGCTGTCCTGATGAGATTACATGCTCAAGTGCCACATGCCACAGATTGGCCATCTTTAATCCTCACAACCGTTCTCTGCGAGATGATTGTGCCCATCCAGCAGATCAAAATACTCCCATGAAGTAATATACCCAAGGCTAAAAAAGAGGAATTTGAACCTAAGTTCCTGGGATTCAACGGCTTTTTATTGCCCATGCAGTTAATACAGCTGCCTAGACCCCCTCATTACTCTGTTAACATCAAGCTGGAAGCTTTTTTGTGGTACCAGGAGCATCTTGCTGCCCATTCTGAACCAGTCAGTAATTAGCATGGCACACTTAAAAAATATACATATATATCAACACTGGACTAATATAGTAAACATTTCTATGTTGAATTCTTAGAGAACGATTAATAATTACAGTCTCAAAAGTCTATTTGAGTTGGACTAGTTTAGATTTGCCTTTCTTCAAGCAAGCATCATCTCCAGGAGAGCTGATCTAGAAAGGAAGATGAAACATCTTCCTTTACATATAAACATATAAACTTCCTATTTTTTCTATTTGTAGCAACAGGACTAAAAAGGCCATGTCAAAGAACAACTTGATAATATCCAGTTTAACTTGAACAGGTTTTGTGTATGTGTGTATCTATCTTGCATAGATCCTATAATCAAGCACAAATCCTCTTACTAGCTGTAACTACCTTGTGATCTTTTGACAAGACGGGCAAAAGTGACTAATCTTGTTCCAGATGTCTGGGGCAATGTCAGGTTGTAGTATCACTTCCTTTAGAAGTGTGAAATAAACAGAAATCATCTTCCCTCCCAGGATTAAATGAGAATACCTGTAAGTCATTTCACATCACACCCGCCTGGTCCAGTTAGTGCTCTGTAAAATGTTAACAAGTTAGGACACACTTAGTACCTTTTCTGATCAAGAAGACAATATGGCTGTTTTTCCATTTTAATCCAGATGTGAAAACAGCTACCTCAACAAGGACGTTAGGGCCTATGGTAATAAGCCATAAGGATACCGAAAACATGATCAGACTGCCATGACTCAATTCCTGCTGTCAGGCCTTGTCCAACAACAGCTCCCCACTCCCTCATGTGGAGACAGGGTCTAGAAGACCTGGCTAGCCTCTGGGGCACAGGATCGACTACTGTCCCTGTTGTTTCCTAGAAAAATTCACTTCAAGTTGCCCTTACCAAAAGTTCTTCCTTCTATTCCAATCTAGGGTTTGGTTCGGTATATTTCTCAACTTTAGCTCGAAGCTAACTTTTGAACCTATTCCACCCCCTTGGCTCTAATCCCTACTATAGAGAAAAGCAATCACAGACCCAGTATTTGCCCACAACCAGACCAGAAACTGAAGCTGTAACATATATATTTCTTCCGGAAGCGTTATTTACACAAGTGTCCCATTCATCTGTGAATAACTTAAGTCACATCTTCTCATAGGTCAGCTCATGGCCACACACAGTACAAGTCTTCCGATACACGTCCTCCTCTAGGTTTTCCTCTGGTCCATACTCATGCTGATGAGCAACGGTCTCCCTTTTCCACACGCTGCTTCTTATCGCTCGCCGTAATTCTAAGAAAATAAATAAAAGCCGTTTTTCAGTGATGCTATTCAGCTGAAGCCCAAATCCATCAAGGTGTAGTGTAAACCAAATATGGTTTACATTAATTTTATAACAAATCAAAATTGACTCTAAAACTTAGCCAGCTTGGTCTGTGAAATTACTCACTGTTGGAGCCATGTGAAATGGGAGATAGAGAAATGGGGTAAGTGGGTTAGAGGGACAGTAAAACAAAAAATTCAGAAGATGAGTAAAAGAGGATTTCAAAAAATGGGATTTGTTCAAGTAGCTAAGAAAAATGATGCCACAGCAGGAAAGAGGGGGTCAGTCCGCTGGATAATTCAGGACAAGACCTATTTCCAAGTCCCGTACATTAGAGGCTGCTTCTATAAGAGGCAGGCCAAGCTTTGCTTACAAGAGAACCAGAAAGCCAAGAAGTCTGCTGTTATGCTGGGGTTTCATCCTAGAGCAACTGCCTGTGCACCCGACCTGAAGTCCATTCAATTCCTTATAAAATGAGAGCAATATTTTAGGAGAGGGATTCCTAATTATTGCAAAGGACAACCTAAATATAAGAATCAAAGCCAATTAAGAACTGGAAAGGAGGACAGTTTTTCTTTTAGTTTTGGTGGGGTTTTTTTGTTTTGTTTTTTTTTTTAAGATTTTATTTATTTATCTGACAGAGATCACAAGCAGGCAGAGAGAGAAGAGGAAGCAGGCCCCCCGCTGAGCAGAGAGCCCGATGCAGGGCTCAATCCCAGGACCTTGAGATCATGACCTGAGCCAAAGGCAGCGGCCTAACCCACTGAGCCACCCAGGCGCCCCCTTTTTTTTTTTTTACTTACTAATTTTACAGGCAGGGAAATGGAACAAAAATAGCATGTGACTTCAAGTCCTCTATTCCAGAGCTTAGAACTTTTCCATTGTATCATGTTAAAATGTCATTAAAAAAAAAAACAACAAAAAAAAAACTGTTGGACACTTTGAAAAGTAACTAAGCCAATCACATGTAGAAAGTTCATACTGCATTACCTGAAGGAACCAAATGCTTAGTGTTAACTGGAAATTAACAAGCTAATAACTTCAATTTCTGGTTTAATGAACAGAAAGCAACACGAGTCGTTTACATTTTTTTATTCTGACCAGTGATCCATCAAGCCCAGCTCGGACAGCACACTACCTAAGGAAGAGTACGTTACATATCTCAACCATAAAAATCACTGTACACTAAGCGATCACACATTTTCTTTAATTCTCTTTAGATTTATTAGTAGTATCAAAATACTTGAGCCTTTGTATTTCGGCCCTTATTGTATCTTAGGGATAAACAGATGGGAGTGCTATGTACCAGGCACTGTTCTAAGCACTTTATCTATAAACACATTTAATCCTTACAATCCTTGGAGAGAAGTACAACTACCATCCTAATTTTAACATGAGAAAACCAAGGCCCAAAGAAGTTACATTCATTGTGCCTAATATCAAACTGCTAGCTGATGGCGAAGGCGTGGTCTGTCTCACGTATCTGTTAACCACGAAAGCTATGCTGCCCTTCCCCACCTCTGGTGTGAGAAGCCCTGGATCTCAGACCACTGTTTTCAGGCTTCAGCGTACACACCTCTAGACAGTTTCCAAACTAGGGGGAAAATCGCCTTCATCCAAACAATAATCTGTATTCCTATATTCTGTCACATTCTGAAGGTGGCAATTTTTTCTAGACATACCTAGAATGCCCTATCCATTTTTTTTTTTTTAAACCTTAAGGTATTTCTAAATAAAAAATGAAATCATGTGCTGACTAGCACAGATGCCTCATGGTTTCGGTCAATGACAAGAAGAGGTCTCCTGTTTGAGCTCCAATAGCTCCCCTCCAGATCCGTTCTGATACAAGGTATCCCATCTGCTTTTCCTTTACTCCACTGAGAAAACGCTCTCAAAATCTGACTGCAACCCGGTCACTGCTAAACACTAACCTCTAACTTGAGCATTATGTGAACTCAGGAAGAGAAAGAAGAGAGCTATTTGCTTAACACTAGAATACGGACAACAAAATGTAGTTTACTATCCATAATTGGTCATAACTGTACATAAGGTTTTTACTGACTTTATGGCTTTTTCTTCCCATCCTTCAGCTAGTGTATCAAGAATAATGACAAGAAATAAAGCCGTATCTGTAGTATTTACTAGACACTCCTGGAAAAAACTTGTGCTAGAAGATAAGGAAGTACTAAAATACTGGTATGTTGATCATTTTCTTGCCTTCTTTCCCTTCCTGAACAATCTAGTCCCAAAAGCCATTAAGTGGAGCAAGTAAAGCAGGCATCTGTGGTGGGGAAGAAGGGGCCCAAGAAAAGTGAGGAGCTCCCTACGGTGAAGGCTGCTAGCAAGAGTGACGGGAAATTACGTACAGGGGCATCAATCGAATAACTACATTACAGATTGTGCAAATCAGGTCTCTCACTCTCAGAGAAGGGAGTTACAAACAAGGGAAAAAAAAATGAGAATGAATTCTAAAATCCTAGATTAGAACTGGGTATGTGAGTGTGAACTCAAGGTGTTAATTTATAACATATATGGGCAGACATAAAAATACAGATAATACACGTTTTGTGCTAGAAAGCAGAAGTTGTTGACAAGACATGGCAAAAGGACAGAGGAGCTTGCTTAAAGATTCCTTTTGGCCCAAATCTCAATCTTAACACCAAAATAAGTACAGAAAATGAATCAAAAGCCAAGGAGAAGAACAGGAATTCATGAATCCATACCGATAATAAAATGGCAGAAAGGATGCTGCAGATCACTCTGGGGTAAGGATATAACCGCTGTATCCTCTATACTATACTTATCTTTGCAATCTTCTGGAACTTTTTGAATTTATTTCCAAATAAAAACTTAAAAAGGAGTTAGCTTGAAGGGGCCAAATTTGAGACCATTTGAGTCTCAAAATAACAGGAATGGACTGTAACACTGATTTGAGCTTAAGAATCCATGAATCTGACTTAATACTAAAAGAAGCCAAATAATAATTATAGGAAGAATACCAGAAATAGAAAGTCACCATTTATATCCAGTCTAGTAACAAGAGTCATGCCATGTGCTAAAACCCAGGAGTGAGACTTAAGGAAGGAGATGCTCACCCAGTACCAAAGAGTCCACCCCACAGATTTCCTCGTAATTATAATGGGGAAAGGATACCTAGACAACGGACAAATCTAGCAGACACCGCCCCAACCACGTTAGCAAACAGAAGATCCCCTCTCAGCTGACAGCCTGTGTCTCCTGATGTGACACACATGGACACATCACCAGGAAAGGACTGCTACCCAAAATGCCCACAATCTGGGGCACCTGGGTGGCTCAGTGGGTTAAAGCCTCTGTTTTCAGCTCGGGTCATGATCCCAGGGTCCTGGGATCAAGCCCCACATCGGGTTCTCTGCTCAGCGGGGAGCCTGCATCCCCCTCCTCTCTCTCTCTGCCTGCCTCTCTGATTACTTGTGATCTCTGTCAAATAAATAAATAAAATCTTTAAAAAATAAAAATGCCCACAATCTAATTGTGTGAAAATAAGCTAATAAACCTAAACGGGGGCCATTCTGCAAACTGCTGGCAGTCTCCAAAAATGTCCATAGTAGTCTGAAAAGAAAACCAATGAGGACCTAAAAGAGTAGACAGGCACCACCCTTGATTGGCCCTGGGATCCAACAACTAAAAAGCTGTGAAAGACATCAGAATGACTGAATGTCTAGGACATACTAGACAATAGCATTATATTAACTTTACGGAGTTTGACACTGCTTTTCAGTTACACAGAATGCCATTGCTTACAGGAGATAACACGTTGAAATATTCATTACAATGTCCTCAGGCAACTCTAATGGGTCAACATTGTGTGTGTGTGTGCACACGTAAACAAATGTGGCAAAATGCCAACATCTGATGAAATCAAAATTTTTTAAATCAAGATTAAGTTTTTTACATTACTTCATTTAAGCAACTTAAAACTTCCAGAAAGTAGAGGTAACCACCTACTGCTGAGTGAGAAGAGGGAGGCAGAAAAGTCAGAGCCTAGATGGGTGGGAGAGCCTCGCTAGGCCCATGGGAGAGCCTCGCTAGGCCCGTGGGAGAGCCAAGGAGCCCTAGGAGCGAGGAGGGGGCACCGTGCCAGGCAGCACTAAAAGCCTAGCTGAGCTGGAGAACAAAACATGTTACCAGGTTATAACCTCCCAGTCCCACAGGCCTAGAATTTCACAGCACAGAAAGTTGTGGACTACCTCTCTGGAAATGTATAAAAATATTCACCATAAACAGTCTTGCTATGGATATCTTCAGAGAGAGATTCTTTTTACCTGAAGAAGTTTCCCTTTAAATCCTTGTTTCAATGAAAAAATTTATTATGCCACTCTGAAATGTGTATTTTATTTGTTTTTTGAAAGGTTGTTTTATAGATATTTATCCTGTATCCAGCAACATTATTAAACTTTCTTCTAAGTTATAATAGTTTTTCAGTTCTAGTTATAATCATATTGCATTAAGTCAGTCTTTTAAAACAGATATAGCTTCTTTTCCTTTAGTTCTTCTATTGCACTGTATCCTACACTTTGTAAAAAAGACGGATTGTATTCAAAGAAGCCCAATACTATTTAGGAGGTAAACTTACAGGAGAACTAGCTGAGACCAAACATTTTCATATACTTGATGGAAGGGCAGAAATTGTGACATAGGGTGCTCCTTGTTAACTAGAGGAAAAGTCACAAGGAAATATCCAAATAACATGAAGCTTTGATCTTATCTTGTCCTCCTCCATACACTGAAGCAAAGGAACATGGAACTGTGTCCTTCAAACTCCACTGAGAGAAGCCCGAAAATGGTCATAAATAGAACCACAGACCCAGAATGTAAAATGTCCACACACATAGTAGGAACTCCAAAGGGGGCTTTTCTTACCCACCCTTTTGGGAGGAAAAATGCATAGTTAACAATGAAGAATTATTTTCCATTTTTTAGAAGGCTTACCTCTATCAGTACTAAGTAAGAGAAAATGGAGTCTAACTTTCTTTTTTTTTTAAAGATTTATTTATTTATTTATTTGACAGAGAGAGAGATCACAAGTAGGCAGAGAGACAGGCAGAGAGAGAGGGAGGAAGCAGGCTCCCTGCTGAGCAGAGAGCCTGATGTGGGGCTCGATCCCAGAACCCTGGGATCATGACCCGAGCCAAAGGCAGAGGCTTAACCCACTGAGCCACCCAGGTGCCCCTGGAGTCTAACTTTAAAGAAAAGCTTCATTTCCACCTTATTTGTGGAGAGGCATGCAAGCCCAAAACATTTTATGTATTAGCACCAAATGAGAGTTCTCATCCGGATCAAAGGCAGCATGTAGTGCATTCTTTGAAATCCAGTTAAACGGAGCAACAGTGATGCCCTTGTTTCTACTTCTGTCTTCTTGGATCTAAGAGATCTAGTAATAACTTGAATTTGCTGACAATTCTTGCCTTTTACTTTGCCTATATTTATAAATACCTTATACTATTTATACTTAAATTTTTTCTGTAGTAAGACCAGTACTTTCTCAAACTGCTAAGCAGATCACATTTTCAAAGCAGGTAAATGTAATCTCTTACCTTTCCATAAAGAAGTAAGCTTTGTGTCAGCTTCTTTGTGGATCAAAATCAGAAGACCAAGAGGAACCAGGTTCCAATTTCTTTTCAACTAAAAAACTTTTAGACTTGCTTTTATTTCTCTCTGTTCTGAGCAAACTGCACGGTAAGCTGCTTGTTCCTAATCTCTACAGTGTCTACTCCACTCTCAGCCCTTTGCGGCCTAGTCAGGAGAACTGGAACTTGTTCACCGACCTCTAAAGTAAACCAACAAGAAGAAGCCATAATTAAACAGGGTACCCCACTGACCCCTGCACAGGAAAATACCATAAGACAACAGAGCAACGCTTTTATGACTGAGAGCATGCTCAGGTTTTCATATGCAAAGGAAACTGGAAAACACTTAGGTTTGGAGGAACTTGGAAAATACATCCACTCAGAAAAATTTCCTCAAAAAGACATGCTTCATCTCAACAAGAAAGGAACTGAATTTAAGAAACCAGTCTTAAGGGTCCATGAAAAAATTCAGGGCAAATTCAAACTCTTCCAGGAAGAGAAAAAACCATAGTTTTATCTGGTAATTAATAGCAGCAGTTGAATGTAGTGAGAAAAAAAGCCAATTACATTTGAGTTTATTTTTCTTTAATACCTATGAAAATTATATAATTCTTAAAAGAATTGTTATCTTACTTCTTATAGAAAAAAGCATAAAACAGATCCTATAATCTTCTACTGTTAGTCAAATTACAGGAACTTAGCCCCATTCAGATGACCTCTTGACCAAACTACAGAGATCGGCGTATCTGAAGAAAAATTACAGATCACCCCCCTTTTTGAAGTATTTCATCACTTTGCAGGTCTCAGTTTCTAATGCCTTTATCCATATACCATTGTCTGCACCAAAACACCATCAGGAAGTGGCTTCAGGGACAGCAGAGTGGGAAGAGTGGAGGCGATTCAGGTAACTAGAGTTACCGACAACCTCAGGCTGGTCTGTAACGAGTCTGCAACTCTGCAGTCCTCTCTCACGCCCAGTAAGAAGCTTCTGTTACTTTCCCCCTCAAAGCTGTCCTTGATGCTGGAAGAAGGAAGGGCTGAAGCAGAATCTCAGGTGAACATAGTCTAATGGAAGATTAAAGGACAGGACTCAACTGAAAAAAGTCTTTCCAAAGCCCCTCAGGTGGTCCTTGCCGGGGTTTCCACTGACCCGGTACAGCAGTGGCTCACATGGGGAAGACTCTTCAATGAAATGCTTCTAGACGGCACAGTTTGCCACAGGAAATCTAACCAAGCCAGAGAAGTGCGCTTGTCCCCTGACTCAGGAACTGGCCTCTTAAGTTGCTAGACTTTATATAAAGACATATGTGAGGATGTTCATTATAAGGGTTTTGATAAACGTCGTAAGTATCAACGGTGCTTCCATTTTTATAAGAAATATTTTTTTAAAGAGTTTGTGTGTAGAAAAGAACTAGAAAAACAGACATTAAAATGTCACTACTGATGGTCTCTGGGCAGGAGACTACTACAAGTTCTTCACAGTTTCCCAACCTTTCTGCACTGCACACAATCTTGTCATGGAAAGAGGGAAAAAAGATCCTCACAAGAAGAAACAAGGCAGGCTTACAATTTTTGTTGCTGTAATATTTAACGCATCTGAGCTACCTTCCAAAACCTCTTCTAAATCCTAAACATAAGCAAATTTATTATGGCTAAGACACTCATTTTAAATGGATGTATATAAACCCAGTAAATACATAAGATACATGCCATCCAGACGCAACCCACACGACAGTGGGCCTCTACAACTCCCGCGGGAGAACACGGATGGCTACTGAGAGGGATGCTATCCAGGAACTCGGCGGTCTAGCACGGAGCGCTCCTGCTGCTCCAACGCCAGCCCCCACTGCCCACCATCAGCACTGACCACACTCCCACAGGGGGTTAAGTTTACTTTCTCTTCTGACTGACTCGCCCTCCAGCATGGACACTAGCACAGGGCCTGGTGACGTTAGCGGAGGCACTGCTGGACAGATGGATGACTGGACAGACTTACACACAGAGGCATACATGGATGGATGGACAGGTACAGAGAAAGATGGACAAAGGAATGGACAGACAGATGTACTGACAAAGGAATGAATATACCAATGCAGACTTTCGGTTATGAAAGCCGGCTTCCGGTCCCACCTCACTAATAACTACCGATGTAACAAGTCACTCTACCTTTTATTCACATACAAAAGAAGAACGATTAGACCTGCTGACATGAGAAGGCTCCTTCTAGCTACTAAATTAGAGGACTAACACTTAGGCATGATTTTTTCATTTTAAGCAATTGAAAGGTTTGCCGGTGGATACCATTTTTATAACCCGGTTAATCATATTTAAGATTGAACAGATGCCAAATCCTCGACCAAGGATATACCCCTGCTCTACCACTGTTCCTATATAAACACATAATTCACTCTGAGAGGATTTACATGCTTTTTAGAACTGCAATACTCTGAAGTTTGCACCGAGAGCCTCAAACTTTCAGTCTTGTCTTTGAATGAAAAAACATTCCAATCTACCAGTGACAGATCTTTAAACAAGAACTACTTAGTAAAGTCTTTTTGCAAGTCAATAAAATACAGTCCTTCATGAGATCAATGTAGCCACTTCCTTTTCCTTTTTTTTTTTTTAAGACCTTATTTTTTAAGTAATCTCTACCCGCAATGTGGGGCTCAGACTCACAACCCTAAGAGCAAGAGTCTCACGCTCTGACCGAACCAGCCAGGCACCCCTCCACTTACCTTTTACTTTCTTATCAAACTTCTTCTGTTTCATTTTCTCTCGGTTTTCCTGTCGAGCTTCCTTTGCTTCTTCTAATGCTTCCTGACTACCCCAAACTTCAAGAGACCTCTTCACAATCTACAACACAGAATCCAGATTAAAATAAGCCATGATTCAGAGTTAAATATTATAAAGTCGTAATGATTAAATCCACGGACACCAAAACATGATCTCACTCAAGGGCGATTTTATAAGTATTTGAAATTCTGAAGATTTTAAATTGTGCTAAGAAACAACTCTAATAACATCTTTATCTAAGCCTAAAGAACCTCAGTAAATGTATGCTGAATTAGACGGTAAGTACAAGAGCTGGGCTCTGACTGTAATTGTTTCTCTGTTTTCACATGAATCCACAGAAGTATCAGTAGCCAGTGGGTTGGATGAGTTTTGTCACACTCACCAAAAAAATCTGCAGACCAGTTAGCCACAGCCTATGTGAACATAAGGTCATCTCCAGAAACCTCTCCCCACAGAGAATCCATCACTACTGCTTTTCTCCTTCTTAGTCCAGTACTGACTTCTGATCTTTAGAATGTTAACTTTTTTTCTTTGTAACTGGTACCTGAAGGACCTAAAGTCTTTATTCGAGCTTAAAAACTTTGCATTCTAGTATCTTTACTCTTTATAATATTTATTTACATTTAGGAGACTAACAAACACACTAAGAATTATGCTCAGGACCTCTCTCACAATACGTTAAGGGAACAAAAATACCAATAAAGGTAGCCAAACTCAAATTTCCTCCTGACATGATCAAACAATATCCTGGCATTTCCTAAATTCTCAAACATCACATTTTCCACACTCTAACACCCCTGCAATGCTGCAGCAACAGCGACCGGCTCACCAGTGCTTTAACAGCTGAGTCACAAAGTGGTTCAGAAGAATTGGACTCTGAATGCAAAGAAGTTTAGGAATACTGTAATAAATCTGGTATAGTTACATTTCTTATGTATGTATGCACAAGCATAACATACAGCAAAAAAAAAAAAAGACTATGATAAATCTAATGGCACTATTTTAGTAAGAAGATAAAAGCTTCAAGTGATAACAAGGCATTAGGTTGGCATTTTTTCATTTTTAATGATACATAAAATAGTGGTGATTCCTCTAATTAATGTTGTCTCAGGTTTAAAAAATTTCAATAAACGATTGGCTTTACAATGTAGTTTCTTAATTTTATTTGAAGCTACTAGGATTTTCTAGTATTTTCCAATCAACCTGCTGTAAAGCAATGCCTCTCAATTTTTTTTTTTTAATATAATGGCACAAAAATAGGATGTCTGTACTCTTCTGCGATAGATACGGGAGGCTCTGACCCAAGGCACTCACACTAAGCAGTAACTATCTCCACACACCACTACAACGCCAGGAGTTGGAAAGATCTACTCTGAGACACAGGAGAGTTACAGAGACACTTGACACGGTTCCAGATGAGCATTTTCCCAAGTGGAGTTAGCTTTCAGGCATCTGTGAAATTCCTGAAACTTCTTAGGATTTTCAGTGGAGAATGGGTGGCTAGGGAAATGGGGCCCAACTTTTACTCCCAGTTTAGCTCCCAAATTGTACCAGTAACATTACCTGATGTATTTGCCCCGAAGTACCACACCAAAAAATCATTACTTAAGACTGTGACCCATACACAGAACAACAGAAGGAAAACAATCTTTTTAACTGTAAGCAAAACTAAACTAAATTACTAAGTCTACCATTAAAACTTCACCTGACGAGGGATTAAAAGGAGTATAACATATCAGAGACCTGTAATTTTAAGTAGAGTTTCATATCACCCCATTGTGAATGATGAGGATTCTTCTTCACAATAAATTTAAGAGCCGGCTCTCTTTTCTCTAAATCACAGTCTTTCAGAAGGTACTCTTGTTTGGCTTCTGTTTTTGTTATGAGCTTGTGTTTATCATCAGCATCTCTGAAAACAAATTAAGTCCAGTACTCTATTAGTTATTTTAAATAAACTATGTTTTCAAATAGTCCAACAACCTAGAGGCATGCATGCCAAAACATTATTTTAAAATAGTTTTTCCTGGGGCTCCTGGGTTGCTCAGTCATTATGCATCTGCCTTCAGCTCTGGTCATGATCCCAGGATTCTGGGATAGAGCCCCGCCCCGGATCAGGCTCCTTGCTTGGCTGGGATCCTGCTTGTCCCCTCCCTCGAACCCTCTCCCTCAAAGCAGGTTCTCTCCTACTCACTCTGTGTATTCACTCTCTCTTAAATAAATAAAAAATCTTTAAGCAAATCAAAAACGGAGGCTTTTACTGCTAGGATAAATGAGGCAGAAGAGAGAATTAGTGATAGAAAGACTAAATGACGGAGAATAAAGAAGCTGAGCAAAAGAGAGACAACTCCTGGACCACAAGGGGAGAATTCGAGAGATAAGTGATACCATAAGACAAAACAATATTAGAATAATTGGGATCCCAGAAGAAGAAGAGAGAGAGGGACAGAAGGTATTTTGGAGCAAATTACAGCAGAAAATTTCCCTAATTTGGAAAAGGGAACAAGCATCAAAATTGACGACGCACAGAGAAACCCCCTCAAAATCAGTAAAAATAGGTCCACACCCATCATCTAACAGTAAAACTTACAAGTCTCAGTGACAAAATCCTGAAAGCAGCTCAGGACAAGAGGTCTGTAACCTACAACAGTAGAAATACTAGATTGGCAGCAAACCTATCCACAGAGACCCAGCAGGCCAGAAAGGACTGGCATGATATACTCAGAGCACTAAACAAGAAAAATATGCAGCCAAGAATACTATTGAGCTAGGCTGTCATTGAAAATAGAAGGAGATAAAAAGCTTCCAGGACAAACAAAAGTTAGAAGAATCTGCAAACACCAAACCAGCCCTACAGGAAATATTGAAAGGGGTCCTCTAAGCAAAGAGAGAGCCTAAAAGTAACAGACCAGAAAGGAACAGAGACAATATACAGAAACAGTCACCTTACAGGCAATACAATGACACTAAATTCATATCTTTCAATAGTTACTCTGAATGTAAATGGGCTAAATGCCCCAATCAAAAGACGAGAGTATCAGAATGGATTAAAAAAAAGACCCACTGATATGATATGATATCCTATCATTGACATTATATCTACAAGAAACTCATTTTAGACCCAAAGACACCTCCAGATTTAAAGTGAGGGGATGGAAAATAATTTACCATGCTAATTGACATCAAAAGAAAGCTGAGGCGGCAATCCTTATATCAGATAAATTAGATTTTAAGCCAAAGACTATAATAAGAGATAAGGAAGGACACTATATCATATTTAAAGGGTCTGTCCAACAAGAAGATCTAAAAATTTTAAATATCTATGCCCCTAACATGGGAGCAGCCAATTATATAAACCAATTAATAACAAAATCAAAGAAACACATCAATAATAATACAATAATCGTAGGGGACTTTAACACCCCCTCACTTAAATGGACAGGTCACCTAAACAAAAGATCAACAAGGAAATAAAAGCTTTAAATGATACACTGGACCAGATGGACATCACAGATTTAGAACATTCCATCCCAAAGAAACAGAATACACATTCTTCTCTAGTGCACATGGAATATTCTCCAGAATAGATCATATCCTGGGTCGCAAATCAGGTCTCAAATGGTACCAAAAGATTGGGATCATTCCCTGCATATTTTCAGAGCACGCTTTGAAACTAGAACTCAATCACAAGAGGAGAATTGGAAGAACTCAAATATGTGGAGGCTAAAGAGCATCCTACTAAGAATGAATGGACCAACCAGGAAATTAAGGAAGAATTTTAAAAATTCATGGAAACAAATGAAAATGAAAACACAACTGTTTAAAATCTTTGGGACACAGCAAAGGTGGTCCTGAGAGGAAAGTATATAGCAATACAAGCCTTTCTCAAGAAACAAGAAAGGTCTCAAATACACAACCTAATCCTACACCTAAAAGAACTGGAGAAAGAACAGCAAATAAAGCCTAAACCCAGAAGAAGAGAAATAAAGATCAGAGCAGAAACCAATGAAATAGAAACTAAAAGAATAGGAGAACAAATCAAAGAAACTAGGAGCTGTTTCTTTGAAAGAATTAGTAAGACTGATAAACCCCTGGCCAGACTTACCAAAAACAAAAGAGAAAGGACCCAAATTAATAAAATCATGAGTGAAAAAGGAGAGATCACAACTGACACCAAAAAAATACAAACAATTTTAAGAACATATTATGAGCAACAATACACCAGCAAATTTGACAACCTGGAAGAAATGGATGCATTCCTAGAGACATATAAACTACCAAAACTGAACCAAGAAAACCTGAACAGACCCATAACCAGTAAGGAGATGGAAGCAGTAATCAAAAATCTCCCAACAAGAGCCCAGGGCCAGACGGCTTCCCCGGGGAATTCTACCAAACATTTAAATTAATTCCTATTCTCCTGAAACTGTTCCAAAAAACAGAAATGGAAGAAAAACTTCCAAACTCATTTTATGAGCACTACCTTGACCCTAAAACCAGGCAACAACCCCATCAAAAAGGAGAATTACAGACCAATATCCTTGATGAACATGTATGCAAAAATTCTCACCAAATACTAGCCAACAGGATCCAACAGTACATTAAAAGGATTATTCACCACGACCAAGTGGGATTTATTCCTGGGCTGCAAGGTTGGTTCAACATGCACAAATCAATCAATGTGATACATTAATAAAAGAAAGAATAAGAACCATATGATACTCTCAATAGATGCTGAAAAAGCATTTGACAAAGTATAGCATCATTTCTTGATCAAAACTCTTCAGAGTGTACGGATAGAGGGTAAATATCTCAATATCATCAAAGCCATCTATGAAAAACCCACAGCAAATATTCTCAAAGGGGAAAAACTGAGAGCTTTTCCCCTAAAGTCAGGAACATGGCAGGGCTGTCCACTATTACCACTGCTATTCAGCATAATACTAGAAGTCCTAGCCTCAGCAATCAGACAACAAAAAGAAATAAAAGGCATCCGAATCAGAAAAAAAGAAGTCAAACTTTCACTCTTTGCAGATGATAAGATATTTTATGGGGAATAAATACTGCACTCCAAAATGGCTAGAACTCATACAGGAATTCAGTGAAGTGTCAGGATATAAAATCAATGCATAGAAATCAGTTGCATTTCTATAAACGAAGAGCAAGACAGAAGAAAAAGAAATTAAGGAGTCGATCCCATTTACAACTACACCCAAAACCATCTTTTTTTTTTTTTTTGACAGAGAAAGATCACAAGCAGGCAGAGAGGCAGGCAGAGAGAGAAGGGGAAGTAGGCTTCCAAAACCATAAGATACCTAGGAATAAACCTAACCGAAGAGGCAAAGAATCTGTACTCAGAAAACTACAAAGTAGTCATGAAAGAAAATGTCTATGCTACCTAAAGCAATCTACACATTTAATGCAACCCCTATCAAAATACCATTAATTTTTTTCAAAGAAATGGAACAAATAATCCTAAGATTTATATGGAACCAGGAAAGACCCTGAATAGCCAGAGGGATGTTGAAAAAGAAAAAAAGTTGGCAACATCACAATTCCAGACTTCAAGCTCTATTACAAAGCTGTAATCATCAAGATGGTATGGTATGGGCACAAAAACAGACGCATAGATCAAAGGAACAGAATAGAGAGCCCAGAAATGGACCCTTAACTCTATGGTCAACTAATCTTCAACAAAGCACAAAAGAATGTCCGATGGAAAAAAGACAGTCTCTTCAATAAATGGTGTTGGGAAAATTGGATGGCCACATGCCGAAGAATGAAACTTGACCATTTCCTTATACTACACACAAAAATAGACTCAAAATGGACGAAAGACCTCAATGTGAGACAGGAATCCATCAAAATCCTTGAGAACACAGCAACCTTTTCGACTTCAGCCGCAGCAACTTCTTCCTAGAAACATTGCCAAAGGCAAGGGAAGCAAGAGCAAAAATGAACTATTGGGACTTCATCAAGATCAAAAGCTTTTGTGCAGAAAAGGAAACAGTCAACAAAACCAAAAGACAACTGACAAAATGGTAGAAAATATTTGCAAATGACATACCAGATAAAGGGCTAGTATCCAAAATCTATAAAGAACTTATCAAACTCAACATCCAAAGAACAAATAATTCAATTAAGAAACAGGTAGAAGACATGAACAGACATTTCTGCAAAGAAGACATCCAAATGGCCAACAGACACATGAAAAAGTGCTCAACAGCATTCAGCATCAGGGAAATACAAATCAAAACCCCAGTGAGATACCACCTCACACCAGTCAGAATGGCTAAAATTAACAAGTCAGGAAATGACAGGTGTTGGCATGGATGCAGAGAAAGGGGAAGCCTCCTTCACTGTTGGTGGGAATGCAAGCTGGTGCAGCTACTCTGGAAAACAGTATGGAGGTTCCTCGAAAAGTTGAAAGTAGAGCTACCCTACGATCCAGCAATCGCACTACTGAGTAGTTACCCTAAAGATACAAATGTAGTGATCTGAAGGGGCACGTGCACCCGAATGTTTACAGCAGCAATGTCCACAATAGCCAAACTATGGAAAGAACCTAGATGTCCATCAACAGATGAATGGATAAGAAGATGTGGTATATATATACAATGGAATACTATGCAGCCATCAAGAGAAATGAAATCTTGCCATTTGCAACGACATGGATGGAACTAGAGGAAGTAGAGCATATTATGCTCAGTGAAACAAGTCAATCAGAGAAAGAAAATTATCATATGATCTCCCTGATACGAGGAATTTGAGAAGCAGGGTGAGGGGGTCGTGAAGTGTAGGGAGGGAAAAAATGAAACAAGATGGGATCGGGTGGGAGACAAACCATAAAAGACTCTTTTTTTTCTTTATTTGACAGAGAAAGAGCACAAGCAGGCAGAGAGGCAGGCAGGGAGAGAAGGGGAAGCAAGCTCCCTGCTGAGAGCCTGATATGGGGCTCAATCCCAGGACCCTGAGATCATGACCTGAGCTGAAGGCAGAAGCTTAACCCACTGAGCCACACAGGCACCCCAAAAGACTCTTAATCTCAGGAAACAAACAGGGTTGCTGGGGGGTAGGAGGGGAGGGGTAGGGTGGCTGGGTGATGGACATTGGGGACAGTATGTGCTATGGTGAGTGCTGTGAAATGTGTAAGTCTGGTGATTTACAGACCTGTACCCCTGAAGCAAATAATATGTTAGTAAAAATAGGTTAGTAAAAATAAATAAATAAATAAAAATTAAAAATCTAAAAAAAAAAAAAAATAGTTTTTCCTTCAACTCTCATGGTCAAGTTAGCAGCATAAAAATTCTAAACATTAAGATACTTTATCTTTTACTAAAATCTGGAGAAGCTATATTAGATTAGCAGCAGATCCCGGTCATTTAGTAAGAATTTCTTTTCTATTTATTTAAAGTAGCTCTTCGCCACAGTGGATTTGAAATTACTAAGAGTATAGAAAATGTAAATGAGAAGTAAGACTCAACGGGTAAGAAAACATAAATCAAAGCATAAAGTCAGGGTCGGTGGGATAGAAGGAATTTGAGTATACAAGGTCCAACTGGCCCAATACACTTTAGTTTCCAACTGGCTCAGTTGTTTCAAAGCCAAGGTAAAAATGGAGGCTTAGTCAGTTACACAGTTCTTCTCATTTATTTGTTCTCCATCTACATGCCAGGTATTACTCAAAGTACCAGAAAAACAGCAAAGAAGAAAACAAAGCCTTGTTTTCATGAAGCTCCCATTCTGGTTAGGAGAAGACACTCAATAAGCAAACATAAGGACAGAGAAAAGTGCTATAAAGAAACACAAAGCATGGTAAAGGGACAGAAAATCTGATCGACTGGGTAATCAAAGAAGGCCACTGATGAGGGGGCATTTGAGTATGGCCCTTAAAAAGTCAGAACATTCTAAACAGCTGGAGAAAGAACATCCTGAGCAGAGAGAACAGCAAGTGCAAAGGCTCTAGGGCAGGAGTGCACTTTGCAACTGGACTCATAGCAACTGAGCTGGCGGGACCAGAAGGCTTAAGGGAGGAGCGGTGGTGAGGAGGGGGCAGGTGGGGAGCAGGGACGGGGGCAGGAGATCAACTCTGAGACAGGTGGAAGCCCTGTAAGCAGTGTAGAGACAGTTCTAGTCTACACGGATTAAAAACCTTTGAAGAGTTCTGACTAAAATGTCTCCGTAGAAGATGACAATGGTACAAAGCGGGGGGCACAGGCCAGTCAGAAGACCACCAGCGCCGTGCTCCAAGCCAGGGTTGATGGTGGCCTCAGCAGAAGTCGTGGTGGGCGAGGGGACGAGGGGGTGAAGCAAGGATATAGGATATGGAATGAACACAGAGCCAAATGGATTTGGAATTAAACACAAGATAAAAAGAAATAGCCAGTGAAGCTGGCCTTTACTGAAATGAGGTATATAGGTCAGGGAGGGGAAGGGAGACTTAAAAATTGTGAAGAACTTTATGAGAGCTAAATAACTTGGAATTTTAAGCTAAAAGAGGGGACAGATAAATGATATTCTACTAAAATTAAAATCTTTGAAGATACTGAAAGAAAACAGGATAAAGGGCTGTGTTCCTAATTACCTTAAAGTTTAAAAGAATTTTTCCAGACTACTACACAACTTTCTCTTAACTGATACATCAGGCACTTCTATCTTCTCGTGTAAGTAAGACTGTATGTGGTAATGTAGTTCCCAAAAGCTATCCATCCATACTTTAAGGAGTGACAGCACTGTGGATCTTAACCACTGTGTATCAGTGGGAAAAGAGTTTTAACTTGTAACTCCCAACAGGTGGGAAACATTTCCAGCCACAGATCTGATCGTGAGACCAGCAACATCTCCCATGCCCTCTTCCCAGGACTCTACCCAGCAACAAGTCAGTGGAGAGGTCTCTCGACGGCCACAGCAGGGACTTGGAAAGGGCAGGTCCTCCAGGTAGGTGAGCAGTTGATCTAGGGTAGCAGGTCCAAGGAGGACCAGGGAACAGAGAAGAGGGCTAAGTAAGAATCTCAGATGGGGTCTCTGGTCCCACTGACACACAGTGGTTAAGATCCACAGTACTGTCACTTCTTAAAGTACAGATGGATAGCTTTTGGGAACTAAATTACCACATATAACACAGGACATGCAGGGTAAACAGCAGGGACACAACCATGTGGCATGAGAAGCATTATCCTGGGGTGACAAAGAGGACAGAGCCTAGGAGGAGAAGAAAAGGATGAGAGAAGAATGTGACTTTTCCTCATCTCTTCTCTCCCCTTCAGTCCCCTCCTCTCACTGAAGGCCCCAAACCTCTGACCAAGGTGTCCACAAACCCTGGGATAAGACACAGGGGACCCGCAGGGCCCTGGGGAAGAAAAGACTTAGGAACCGGCTACTGAAGATGTAAAGACCCACCAGGCCCAGAGAAAGGAAAACAGATCTACGGCCAAACCAAGCCATCCCTCCTACATGCGGGGCACATCATCACCACAATAAACACAGACTTCCTGTATTTCTTTGGCAAAATGGAAACCAGAGAAATTTTAGGAAACAGCTAAAATGAAAATCGTAATTACTAAGAATATTAAATCCACATGGATCTAATTATTGTTTTGCCCTAAACCTACACGCTAACACTAAACTTTAGCAATTGAGAACGTCATCGGAAATAAGTACCTGCAGTTATCACAAGTTGCCAGATCAAAGTGGGTCATAAGGTAAGAATCCATAAATTCTTTACCACACTCTTCACATATTGCATAATCAAATTCCATAACAGGTCCTAAAGAAAGAAAGGTTAATTCTTTAGGTTTCCTTTTTTGTGACATAGAACAATATATTTTTCCCATATCTTAAGTTTATCAGCATGTACTCTTTAATGGACACAAATATATTTACATGAAAGACAAAACCATGATTAAATAACCTTATATCTTAAAAAAATTTTTTTAAGAAAAAAAAATATATATCAATTCATCAAGTACATTTGAACCCAAAACCATGTATAGGATGCTTGTATTCATTCTGTATTGCTACTGTAGCATATTACCACAAATCTGGCTAAAATAACACAAATTTATTATCTTACAGATCCGTAGTTTCTAAGTCTGACGCAGGTCTCAGTGGGCTACAGTCAAGGGCAAGGCTGCATTCCTTTCCGGGAGTTTTCGGGGACAATCTATTACCTGCCATTTTCAGCTTCTAGAGGCTGCCTTCCTTGACTCAGGACTCCCTTCCTCAATCTCCCAAGCCGCAGTAGCAGTTTCTCACATCACTCTGACTTCTTCCATAACCACATCTCCTGGCGACTCTCTCCTGCTTTTTAAGTGCCTGTCAGTACACTGGGCCCACCTGGATAATACCAGAATAATCTCCCACACATCTCAGGGTCTTTAACTTTAATCAATCTGCAAAGTCCCTTTTGCTATATATGGTAATACATCACGGGATCCACAGTGATTGGAATGGGACATCTTTGGGAACTGTTACTCAACCTACCACCATACTGTTGAGAGGACAAAGGAGGGGAGAAAAAAAAAGGACAAAGGAGAGCAGTGCCAGAGTAAAAAGGGGAGGGGTCTTACAGACAGGGAGACGGGCACTAACAGACAACATGGAAAGGGCAGTCAAGAGCAAGTCAACACTAGAACACACAAGACAGAATTCACTTTCAAATGGGAAACTTTGTCTCCCTCCATTCTACCCTACCACCACCAAGAGAGCCAATATCTCAACAATGAGATTGTAAACTTGTGGGTGGAGATTATATTTAGCTACATATCCTCAGCTCCCAGCACAGAAATACTCTCAGTAAAGTTCAATTTTTTTGAGGACTTCAAATACCTAAGGATCTTTATCCTCTAGAACTGGTTCTCTCAGCAAGTCTGCAGTTTTACTAGTACATCTTTAGGATGATTGCTACTGCCAAGCCCCCTGCTCAAAGAACTGCCACAACTCCCAGTGGAAAGAAGAAGGTAGTCATTATTTGTCCACAGTGGTTCGACATACTCCTATCACTGCCTTCCCTTACCTACTTTCAACACATCAAGGTCAGTAAATACTCCAGCACCCCTTAATTCCACTATCTCCAAACTCTAACAAAAATATCACTCTTCCTTCTAGAATGTTAGCAAGGCATAGCCACAGACAAAAGGAAAAGTTAAAAATACAGTCAAAGATCTTCAAAAAATTGATTACTAAAATGTGTTAGAAAGGAGAAAAACATAAAAACATACCAATTAAGAGACTACTGGATAGCAATATTAATCAAAAGCCATAAAATGTGCATTTTCCTAATTTTAGAAAGTCTTTATGATGGAAAATTTTAAATGTCCATCATGATGATTTTTCTACTCCTTTACTCCCTTTAAATTTATCACGTGGAAACTGGCAGTCTAGTGAAAGCAAGAACCTACCCTCCCCGCCATTCATTCACTCATGTACCTATTAATTATAGATATAGACACACAGATTCCTAATTTTTTTCCAATGGCATTACCACTCAGTAGTGTCCTTAATGAGTTTGGTGCTCAAAGTGTCTCAGATTTGGCCAGCAGGAGTCCTTTCAAACTGTGCAACACACTTCTATTACTTTTGAACACTTACGTATTTCTGGCATTACAGAATGTTCCAAACTCACCTGGTGGCCATCCTGCCCCAACCCTAGAATCAGCTATTTCTCTGTAGGGCCCTGGTTCCTTTCGGTGGGGGGACAGTATCCGAGTCCAAGATCTGGACACCAGGTATGCTCACTGCCACTGGGTTCTCTTCACTTCAAGGCCCTTTCTGTGGACAGAGCTAAGAAATACATGCACATGTGTGTACATATATGTGTGAATACATGCACACATACATATATGTACACACACGCAAGTACTCGTGCATACACACGTATCTTTCCGAGGTATAACTGACACTGTATTAGTTTCAGATGTCTAACAAATGACTTGATATTTATATATATTGTAAAATTATCACAATAAGTCTAGTTGACATCTGTCACCATACACAGTTTACAAAATCTTTCTTATGAGAACTTTTAAGATCTACTCTCCTAGCAGCTTTCAAATATGCAGCACAGTAATATTAACTAGTTGCCATGCTCATGACTTATTTCATAACCAGAAGTCCTTCACCACCCACCTTCCCTTATCACCTTCCTAGTGATCCTGGGGAACCTCTATTCTAGATTATAAAAGCATTCGATAGGCTTTGCTTTATAGGCAAATGACCTAAATAATTTAATGGCCCAAATAATTTTAATTTTTCTCAGCTATGCTGAAGCTCTTTAAAAACTAACAAAGAGGGGCACCTGGGTGGCTCAGTGGATTAAAGCCTCTGCCTTCAGCTCAGGTCATAATTAAATCTGCCACCTACCAATGTGGAGTGGCCTGACTCCTTCAGTCTTGTGCCCTCTGTGTACATGCCACTGTGCAAACCAACACACACACCTTCTCTAACTTCCACAAACTCACTACCCAAGTTCTATCCCATGCGGCAGCCACACCATCGATGCAGGAGTAAAACTCCGCTAAGCAAGAAGGCACAACAATAGGTTATCAATAAATATTTGTTGCGTGACAGGGCACCTGGGTGGCTTAGTCGGGTAAACGTCTGCCTTCGGCTCAGGTCATATGTCATGATCCCAGGGACTGAGCCCCACATCATCGGGTTCCCAGCTCAGTGGGGAGCCTGCTTCTCCCTCTGCCCCTCCCTGCTGCATGTGTGTACACCGTCTCTCTGACATATAAAACTGGGTGGCTCAGTTGGTTGAGTGACTGCCTTCAGCTCAGGTCATGATCCCGGACTTCCAGGATTGAATACCGCATCGGGCTCCCAGCTCCTTGGGGAGTCTGCTTCTCCCTCTGACCTTCTCCTCTCTCATGCTCTCTCTCACTCATTCTCTCTCAAATAAATAAATAAAATCTCTAAAAAAAAAAAAAAAATTGTCGTGTGACCTGTTAAATCAAAGTATAGGCTTTACAGCCCAAAGCTGAGTCCAAAATCTGCAGATAAAGTTACCATGAGTCTTCATATCCATAAAATCATAAGGACTTTAAAGGTCTTTAATTCGATGCCTTCCCTCCTCCTACAGTGCTTCTCTAATATATCCTGGCCAGGTCCTTCTGTCTCTGAACCCCTCCAGTGTTTTGCTGTTTAGAAGCAGCAATTCACATGGTTGGGAAGTTTTTCCATTTCAGAGAGTCACCACGAGATTCACATGAAATACGTGCCAACACTATGTAAGTGCAAATTGCTAAATAGATGCATGGTACTGGGCTGAAATCTCCCTCACTGTATTGTAGTTGTCACCCACTGTTCCAAGTTCTGCCCTCCAAAGCAAATCACAGTGAGTATAATAGCTCTTCCACAGGGAAGCACTTACACTTGCAGGCGGTTACAAGAGTCCTCTAAGATAAACCTAACCAGTTCTGACAACTGTTCCTCACACGTCATGAAGACCTCCATTTTGATCACCCTATTTTGGACATTATACACTTGTGAATATCCCCCTTAAATATGGCACCCAAACTGAACAAATATTTTAATCCTTCAAATCTCAGCTTCTGAAGACAGTGTAATAGAACAGGACCCTTCCCTACCTTGATGAACATGTAACATTTCTGTTGCCACAGGTAAAACTAAACTAGGTTTTTTAAGCTTCCCCAAGGATAGAGTTACAGATATCTATATATCCCATTTTTCCTCCAAACAAGTAAAAGAATGTCCTAAATTTTATCCCTTGGTAGAACGTTCTAGCCCCTCATTTTGGCCTATTAAGACAATGAAGTATATCAGAAGTCAATATATTGGTTGTCCCTATTTTAAAATAACAGAGAGCATCAACCGTAAGTCCACAAACCACAAGTTAAACTAATTATTGCCAAACCGGTTGAATTTTTAATCTACCAGTAAAACTGCCAAACTCTATACCTCTCACAAAGCTGACCTGCTCACTGACAATAGATATGGCACTAACATCGATTTACAAAGAATTATGCATGTTACTCCAAATGACCAATCTAGATCCCTATTTTCTGAAAATACACTTTACCTGGTTGATGGACAACTTTTCCAGTTATACGTTGTTCTTCTTCTTCCTCTTCCAAAATGAAGCCTCCTCCTGTGTCAATGATCCTTGGGGCTGCTTTTACATTAGCCACACCTATGAAAAGTAAGTAAAAGTGGTCAATGATTTAACCAGGTAAGCCCATATGTTCCCTTGTGCATAAGCAAGTTATTTAAATTTAATATATATCAAATAAGACTAAGATGTCCACTGTTAGCACTTCTATTCAACATTATACTGAAGGGCCCAACTACTGCAAGATGGTAAGAAAATACAACAGGCATAAAGGCTGGAAAGGAATAAAGCCATCTTTATCCACAGATGATGGGATTAAGCACATAGAATATCCATAAGAATCTACAAAATAACATCGAGAAAAATAGGTGTAAAACCTCTACAGTGCAACCGCCACTGAGAGATATCAAAGACCTAAATATAAACCGAGAAACAGACCACACGCAGACTGGAAGCCTCAATATTCTATTTGGTGCTAAGATTTTTATCTGCAGTACTTTTATTTCAGCTACAGTACAATTTCCATTTTTTTGTCTGAGCTAGGACATAGGCCATGGAAAAGACAGAGAAGAACTTGCTTAGAATGTGGTACTCAGGGCCTGAGGAAAACAGCAAGCTAGAGCAGCAGAGAGAAACGGGGCTTTGTGTTGGCATGACTGAGCATCGTTCAGTATCCTGCTCAAGTCAAGGTCTTGACAACTCCAGCTGGTCCAAGCTCCTGAAGCACAGCGGGGTGTAGCCCATGTCGCAGCGCAGTCCCTTGTCTGAGAACTCTTGCCAGAAAACTCTTAGAGCACATACATTCGCCCTTGCTTTCCACGATCAGAAGTTTAATACCTCTGTATGTTCTTTTTTGTACCCTTGTTCCACAACCATTCAGCACAGATCTACAAACTTTTATGAAATCATGAATAGGAAATAATACAAATGAACAACTTTCGTCCTGACTCTATAACATCTCAAGTTGAGAAAGGAATAAGAGAACTAGAAAACAGAAGGATGACACCAGAACCATTAAAAGGGGCTGGAATTTGCAGATTCAGAATGAATATCAAGACAGACCGCCAGCCCCAGTTTCTTGTCATTCTTCCTTTCTTCTGGCTGAGGAAAAGGGGTAGCAGAGGACAGCTCCAAACTGTGCTCAACGACGCAAACAGTATGAGATATAGCTTTAGGAACACATGTACTTCACATTACAGAGGCAGTCCCGAAGACCTGCATGTCATCTACACTATTTTAAGTACCCTAGAGAAGATTATTACGGGACTACAGTGGGAAATTATGACAGAAACGTACATACATGAAAGACACGCAGTCAAGGGCTGCCCTAAGAAAGGGGGAAGATAAAAATTCAGACAGAAGTAACAGCCTTTCTTCCTAAAAGTGAGACAGTGCCTGGCACAGAAGCAGCAGTTGGTGAAAAGGAAAGGCCGTGAACGCAGTATCAGAACTCAATTCTAATCCTGATTAGCTTATACACTTGCCGCTAAGAACCTGAGCAGATCCTTTTCCTTTCCTCAATGACCACCTCAGTAAAACACCGGTACCAAACGCTGCCCTAATCATTTTCCAAATTAATAGTGAGAATCAAGTCAGTCAACTTGAAATATGTGAAACACAACAGGTGCCACACTTGAGAGCCTCAGGAAGGCAGCAGCTCCTGCCTATTTGCCTCTCTCGGTGCCCGGCACGTAGCGAGCGGAACCAGAAAATGCACTCAATCGCCCTTTGTTGAGTGGGTGAATTCGGGAGCGGTGCAGGAGGGCTGCGGCAAACGGGTCCCAAGCCTAAAAGCTTTATACAAGGACTGCCCCTGGGACCGCGGGACGCGCAGCTGGGAAGGGAAAACTAAGGCGCCGACCAACACTGGCTGGCACCTCCCGACCGTGAGGGCGGCTGCATCCCCCAAGCTTAAGAGGAGAGCTGGGCCACCCGAGTGCAGTGAGGAAAGACCCGGCTCCAGCGCGGTACCGCTAGTGGTCATAGCCTGCTCTGAAAGAGCCCGCGGAGCAGACTCCCGGGACTGCGGGAGAACAGGTGCGCAGACGCGCGGGCAGCCGACCGGAAAGCCGACGCTGCACCCGGAACGCGGCACCCGGCCCGCCAGAGGGAAGGGGCAGGCGTCGCCAGGGCCCAAACCTCCGGTAGCCGCCGCCGCCGCTGTCGCCGGATAGGGCCGGGCCGCCAGCCGGGCCTGGCGCAGCATCAGCGCCCGCTGCCGCTTCCGCTCAATGCTCGCCCGCACCGAGGCAGGCAGCTCCGCCGGCGGTTCCGAGGCCGCCGGCTCCCGCGAAGCGTCCCGGGAAGCCGCCATCTCCAAGCTCCCCGAGGGGACGAGGCTCCAGCCCCGCGCCTGCGCATTGGCACCCCGTCCCGACGACGCCTGCACCGCCTCCGCGTGGACTCCACAGTACAGCCCCGGAGGAGAGCGCCTGCGCAATTTGAGGATGTCGGGGCGGAAGGGAGGGCGGTGGCAGAGTTTGCGCAGGCGTTGGGGCCGGGAATACCTACCTGCTGGAATGTAGTCTAGAAGAGGCGGGGCTGAGGTCAATTTTCAGGACCTGGTCATCTTTAAAATAATAGTCTTGCTTAGAGGTTCAAAATACGGACTTTGGAGTCAGATCTGGGTTAAGTTCTAGCTCTGACATTTACCGTTGGTTGCTGGAACAAGTTATGTAACCTCAGTTCGGTTTCTTCAGTAGAAAAAAAACGAGGATAATTACCGTACCACTTCCTGGGTTGTTAGAAAGATGAGCTGTAAAGGTTTTCAGCACAATGCCTGGCATATAGGAAGCTTCCAAAAAATAATAGCAGGTAGTAGCGGTAGTAGTGCCTGTCAAAAAAAGATCAATGGGTGATTCATCTGACTGCTTCGAAAGTGTGTCCTAGGGGCCAGAGCCTTAGATTTGAAATGGGAACCCCTGGGTTCAAACTCTCACCTGCTGTGTAATATCAACCAAATGTAGCACCTGGTATCAAAGCTGGTGTGCATGAACTTGGCTATATTTTCCATGAAATATTCCTTAAGTGTGGATGAGATGCCACCAGGTAGACAGTGGGTTTATATTTGGGGCAAATCCTGACTTCCCAAAAGTGTCGTAAATGGAGCATTTTGCAAGAAACATTGCTTGCTTTTCCAAGAATGTATGCCTTTTTTTTTTTAATTACAAATGAAGTTTAATTGAACCAGGAAACCGGAAACACATTATGTTTTAATTACTACATATACCATTTAGGTCTAGTTTTCAGAACAGTCTGGCACACTAAGGTTTCATATTTGTTTTCCTTGGTTAAAATTTAAGCAGCACAACTTAGTGGTTCTAATCTATTGATTATGTGTGTATATATATATATATTTAAGCTGGAGAACATTATAAAAAGCAGATAAATGCTCAGATCTTCTGGTTGAACTGGAGACAGAGACCTCAAGCAATCCCTGTTCCCTTTCCCCTCTTTCTCTTCCTAACCATTGACCTTGTCCAGGTGACAAAATCTCAAATTCCATATAACACCAAAAGCGCAAACAACAAAAGAAAAAAACAAATTAGACTTCATCAAAATTGAAAGATTTTGTACATTCAAAGAACATCATCAAGAAAATAAAAAAGGTAAATCACGGAATAGTAGAAAATATTTGCAAATCATGTATTGGAGAAGGGCCTAGTATCCAGAATACACAAAGAAATTTTACAACTCAATAACAAAAAGGCAACCCGGTTTTTAAATAAGCAAAGGACTTAAAGAGACATTCTTCTATACAAATGGCCAACAGGCACGTGAAAAGAAATTTATCACCACTCTTTAAGGAAATACAAGTCAAAAGCAGAGTGAGATAACACTTCACCACCACTAGGATGACTAGAATTAAGGGGTGGGGGGGGCACAATAACAAGTGTTGGCAAGAATGTGGAGAAATTGGAGCCCTCAAACATGACTAGTAAGATTATAAAATGTTGCTATGGAAAACAGTTTGGCTATTCAAAAAGTTACACATAAAATTACCACATGAGTCAGCAGTTCAACTCATTCTGCTTTATATAATGTTCTCCAGCTTAAATAAATACACACACACACACACACACTCTCTCTCACTCTCTCTCTCTCTCTCTCAATAGAGTAGAACCAATAGGTTGTGCTGCTCAAATTTTAACCTTTGAACACTGGTGTGAAACCTCAGTGTGCCAGATTGTTGTAAAACTCTGCCCCAGCAATTCCACATAGCCCAAAAAATTGAAAACAGGTGTTCAAACAAAAACTTGCACACAAGGGTTCACAGCAGTGCTACTCACAGTAACCAAAAGGTTAGAATTACCCAAATATCCATCAAATGATGAATGGATAAATGAAATGGGATATGCCCATACAGAGTAATATTATTCAGCCGAAAAAGCAAGAGTACTGATACATGCTGCAACATGGATGAACCTTGAAGACATTAGCATTCCTTTTTTATGAAACATTCAGAATAAGCAAAGTCATAGGGACAGAAAGCAGATTAATGGTTGCAAGGGGCTTAGGGGAGGGGGCCTGGGGAGTGACTGCTTAATAAGTATGAGGTTTCCTTTTGGGGTCACGAAATGTTCTGGAACTAGATAGTGGTGACAGTTGTACAACACTGTGAATGCATTACATGTTACTAATGGTAAACTCTATTTTATAATAAATTTTAAAAACAACTCAAATTCTGATGGGTCCCAGCCAGGTGATGGAAGTTAATGAACCTAGCCAGGTGTGAGACTCAGGCAAACCGGAGGGTCAAAGCCCCTCTTAAAGGGGGCAGCTACCACCCCATTCCTGCTGATAGTTGCCAAGGCAGAATTTGGGCCCATTGTCGCCAGACTAGCCAATGCGTCAGGAAAGTAACTGCTTCTCAAACTTCCATGCACTCGGTGACCTTGTTAAAACACAGATTGTGAATCACTAGGTCTATGGTGGGACCTTCAGCAAGCTCCCTGCTGGGGCTGCCATTCCACCAATCACACTTTGAAAGGTGAGGGTCCAGCTCAGAAGTTCTCAAACTTGAATGCACATTGGAAGCCCCTGGAGAGTTTAACACTGATGCTTCAGCACCACCCCCAGATATTCTGACTTCATTGGTCAGAGGACTATAACTCTAATGGGCAGCAAACTTGAAAGCCCACACCCTGGTCGACCCTCTAGACTTTCCATAGCTCTAAGGGCCTCTGAGACTATGCAGTACTTCCGGAGAACAAGGTAACAGTTTTGAGAATAATTAGCCCCTAGTACCTTGTCCCCAACGAAGCCTTCCAATCCTGAAGGATGTGGACCATACCTAGTTCAGATGCTGTACGCATATTTTGTGACTCTTGACAACCTGTTGGATTTTCTTTGACCAGTGACTCCTTCTTCTTTGGCATCCTGACCGTTGTTAGCAAGTTTCATGTAAATTGGGTCTGAGTTGTTAGCTGATACCTCAACCCGCTAAAATGAGACTCCTCCTTTAGAGAAAGGAAGAGTGCGTGCCCTGATCTGTACATCTCAGTCACAGAGTCTGAGCAGCATGAGTCATCTTGGTGGGGGCACGAAAGGAAAAGGGGCAAGGAGAAGAGACCCGGCGGATGTGTTCTTGCCTCTCCCCACTCACGGTCTCTGGAAAAACCTGTGACTACCTCTCTCCTGTTTTGTACCTCTCCTCTCCCAGACCAACCGTGAAAGAGGGGTAATTAACAAAGAACAGAAAGAATTGAAAGCGTTAACCAGAGCCTGAAGAATGGGGAGGCAAGAATGGAAGTCAGGAAGGGGAAGGAGAAACTTGGCAGCATTTCCTGACGGGGCCTCCTCGCTTAGAGCATTACTGGAGTTATTCATGCCTGAGATGACAGGATGTAAACATATTTGTCTTTATGATCGAGCAAATAGTACATGTGTGTGGCTTTCTTTTTAATTTTTCCCCTGATTCCCCAGGGCTTTACCCCTTAATGTGGCCACTTTGAACATGGTTGGCATAAATTCACAGTAGAAGAACATCTGTGACAAGGAGCACGCCAAGGCAGGGAACTGTCTGGGACAGGGGTGCAGCAGCACAGAAATTAGCCCAATCCTCCTGGCTCAAGCTATCTTGATTCAGTGATTAAGGAAATGTAGTCTCTTTTGGTTATGACTGACCCTCCTTCTGGAGAAACTTCGATTTCAACCTCCCTCCACCAAAAGATCAAGGGGTTGAGGCAAAACCATCATACTGAAACCTTGATCAATAAAATGTGGGTTCAAAGAGATTTAGAAAACATCTTAGAGGTTCACAAGAATTTTTCCAGAAGCAGTAAGAAGTGGGAAGGTCCAAGTGATTCCACTTAGTACAGGGCTTGAGGAAAATGATTATCAGCACTGGAAGCCCAAATCTTCTGTTAATCATGGACCAGCAAAGGCAGATCTCCCCTACTGTGCATTTCCCAGATTCTGAATATGGTCCAGGGGACACTGTTTCTTCCTGCCTCTTCCAGGAAACCTGCCCTGACTCCCTCTCCTGAGTGTCTGTGAGCCTCACATGTGCTGGTGTTGTGGCACTTACTCAACACACAAGAGGAGATTCCTACCTCCCATCCTTCCTAAATTATCAAGTCCTTGGGAGCTGGGACTGTCTGATTAATCCTAGTATCTTCAAGTCCTACCATAGTGTCAGGTACAGAAGAGCTGCTCAGTACATACTTGTAGAATTAAATAAATAGAACGAATAATGGGCACCTGGGTGGCTCAGTCGGTTAAGTATCCAACCCTTGATCTCAGCTCAGGTCTTGATCTCAGGGTCACGAGTTCAAGCCCCACACTGGTCTCCACAGTAATGCTCAATGAACCTAGATGGATGTCTCGACAGCACTGAAACTCAAGATCCAAAGCTGAACCCTACAACCACCTCAGCTCTGCTTGTGCAGGTAATGGAATACTTTCCTCAAAACAGCAATCCCACTGTTGTCCAGCTTTGCCCATTATTCACTGTAATAATAATAATAGCAATAACAATAATAAACACTTATTTGGTGCTTACTGTGTACTCAGTGTTCCTTTAAGCATTTTAAATCAACCAGTTTTCTAGTATCCTCACTATTCTCAGTTTATAGATAAGACAACTAAGGCCCAGAGATGTTAAGTAACTTGTTCAAGGTCTAAGTTTCTAAGTGACAGAGCTGGACTCAACCAGGCACAGACCAGCCTGGCAGGAATATTCTCCACCACTAAACTGTAAGTCCCTAGTTTAGAACGAGTCTTCCTCTTCCTTCCTCCATTAGTGGTCCTGCCTGAGTCAGTGCAGAGCTGACACCAGGTCCTTGCAATGCCCCACGTGGCTAATCAACGTGCTTGAAATAGACAGGACTGTCTCTGCCC